CTGGTGATTTCCTCTGGCTGCCAGCTCTGCCCTGGCAGGAGCCTGGCAGCACTGCTGGGACAAGAGCCCAAACCCTTTCAGCAGCTGTGGTGGAGGAAGCTCGACTTGGATCATTTGTTTAACAGTGTAAATACAGACGAGTGGTCATCTCACCCCCACACAGCTATGACGGTGTTGTTTTTCCTGGGCTGGTCTGCAGCGAGTGCAGGGAAACCTTTGTTTGGGTTGGAAGGGACCTTAAAGCTCATCTCATTCCGCCCCCTGCCAGGGGCAGGGACACCTCCCACCAGCCCAGGTTGCTCCAAGCCTGGTCCAGCCTGGCCTTGGACACTTCCAGGGATGGGGCAGCCACAGCTTCTCTGGGCAACCTGTGCCAGGGCCTGCCCACCCTCACAGGGAAGGAGTTCTTCCTTATATCTAACTGAAATCTGCCTCCTGGCAGCGGGAAGCCATTCATTCACCCTTGTCCTGTCCCTCCAGGCCCTTGTCCCACATCCCTCTCCAGCTCTCCTGGAGCCCCTTTAGGCACTAGAAGGGGCTCTCAGGTCTCCTGGATCCTTCTCTTCTCCAGGTGAACCCCTCCAGCTCTCCCAGTCTGGCTCCAGAGGGGCTTCAGCCCTTGGAGCATCTCTGTGGCCTCCTCTGGATTTACTCCAGCAGCTCCATGTCCCTCCTGTGTTGTTCCCCAGGGCTGGAGCAGCTTCAGGGGGGTCTCACCTGAGGGGGCAGAGGGGCAGAATCCCCCCTGCTCTGCTGCCCATGCTGGGGGATCAGCCCAGGGCACGGGGGGTTTTTGGGTGTCACTGTACACGGCTGGGGCATGTCGAGCTTCTCCTCCACCAGCACCCCCAAGGTCTTGTCCCCAGGGCCTTTCTCAATCCATTCCCTGCCCAGCCTGTATTTGTGCTTGGGATTGCTCTGACCCCAGTGCAGGACCTTGCACTTGGCCTTGTCAAAGCTCTCACAGGCCCAGCCTCTCCAGCCTGGCAAGGGCTCTCTGGGTGGCAATGCAGTGTCACCAAGGGCCCAGCAGAAGTCTTGACATCAGCCCTCTAGATCAAGGCATTTCCTTTCTGCAAATGAGCCGTTCCAGGACTCCTCCCCATCCCCTGGTACGAGAAAACAAGCCCTGTCCCGGTGTGGAATGGAGGGAAGCAGCTGAGCCATGAATGGGAGAGACCAGACACATCTCCTCTGGCTTCAGGGAAATCTCTGCTTTGCACTGTAAGATGGCTCTTGTGCCCTATCAGTGTGTTGTTGCTGCTCTTGCTATCTGGGTTTGGGTTTTTTTTTTCCTAGCCTGTCTGGGGCAGCAGCTTCTTTCCCTCCAGGAATTTTTAGGGAGGATGTTTCCCAGGACCGTGTGGGGGTGGCTGTCTCTGCTGGCCTGGCTCCTATCAGGAGTAAAGGCTGCTGCAGGTATGGCCCCACAGCAGAACCCAGCTAAGCCAGCTGCTTAATGACTTTCTCAAGGTATTTTTAGCTGCACATAAACTTCAGGAAAAGCTTTTTTGCAGCTGAGCACAGTGGGGCCTTTGTTCCTGCTCCTGGGAATGAGGGGGGACCGGCTCAGCGTGGCTGGCACAGCCCTTTCCCCTCCCAGCGAGCGTGTGAGCTGCCCAGGGGCACTGCAGCCCACCTGCCCTGCTGTGAGGGGCTCCTGAGACCCCCGAGCAGTGCTGAGCTCCTGCTGTGCCCACGCCAGGGCTGTGGGTGCTGAGGTGGCTTTTGCTGCTGTTCTGCAGGTGAGAAGTACCTGAGTGTCGCTCTGTGCCCTGCCCATGCCCACAGGGGTGGCTGGGACAGGGGGAATGGCAGATTTTCCCTGTTATCTCCAGATTAGTCAGCATTTGGAAGTGGAAGTTCAGCCTTTAGGAGCAAAGTTGGCAACTAGTTGAAAAGGAGCTGCCACCTCCCTTCCCACTGTGAGGGGCCTTGGCTTGGGATTTGTCAGCTTTCCACCAGACACAGGGCAGGACTGAAGTGATTTGTAATTCCAGGCAAGTTGTAAATGAGCCTCTGCTGTGTCCGTGCTGGAGGATCTTCTGCCAAGAGAGGCAGGCAGGAGCCCAGTTTTAACCTGCTTTTTAGGGGTCCCAGGTGTTTTTGGGGACCAAATTTTGGGGTCCCAGGGGGTTTGGGTGTTCCTTTCACCCCGAATTTGGAGGTCCTAGGGGTGGTTTTGGGCATTGCATATGTTGGAGGTCCCTTTTCACCCCCAATTTGGTGGTACCAGGAGTTTCTGGGGACCCTTTTCATCCCAAATTTGCGGGTCCCAGGAATGTTCTTGAATCCTTTTCATCCCCAGTTTGGGGATCCTGGAAGCTTTTGGGGACCCATTTCACTCCCAGTTTGGCTGTCCTGGGTGTTCTTTTCAACCCCGATGTGGGATCTCGATGGGTGGGATTTGGGGGATCCTTTTCACCCCAAATTTGGGGATCCCAGGAGTATTTGGGGACCCTTTTCACCCCAGTTTAGGGATCCCGGGGGGAGGAGCATATTGGTGTCACAGTTACTGCTAAATATCTGCCTCTCCTCCTGCTGCAGTGGCAGGCAGGCAGGACACAAGCTCATCTGCAGTCTCTGCTGCCTTGTGGCCCTGCCAGACACTCTGGATCACGCCCATACCTTCATGGGAGTCTCCCATCTTGTTGGGGATTATCTGTTGTTCTTCACCTTATACTTTTATTGGCCTTTGTCTCTGAAAGAGCTCTGGCACCGAACTCCAACAGCCCTCCTGCTTTCCACCCTTTTTGGAGTGGCCATTTCACGATGTTGAGGATGCCTAAAGATGCTTCTCCCTCTTTGGGGGAAGGAGAGAGTGGGAATTGGAAACTGTGAAGTGCTCAAATGTTCTCTTCCAGCCCAGATTTCTGATGGTGAACCTGAGCTGGGCAGGAGTTTGATGGAAATGACTTGTTGGGATGGTGCTGCCTGTCATGTCAAAGAGGAACTTTCACTTGGTGAGCTTATCCTAAGGGTCCTGGAAAGGCTGTGAAGTTTCATTCTCTCAGCAGGAGACTCGAAATCGCTTCCTGCACCTTCACGTGGGGCTCTGCAGGTCAGACAGCTGGGAATTCTTTAGGCCTTGGTGGAAACTCTGTGACCACTACCCTCTGGAACTCCCACCTCCCTCCCTGCCTGCTGCAGTGCAGGAGCAGGACTTGCTCCCTCTCAGATGGAGAGTCCCCTTACTGCAAAACTGCACAGGAGAGAGGATGCATTCCAATTATCGACTCCCTTTCCAAAAATAAGGATAATGTGTGTAAGATCAATGTCGAACGATGCCCATTAAAAAGCAGAAACCCCCTAAGGAGCAGCAAACAAGCCCTAGGTTAGTCGAGTTATTCGTATCAGCCAGAGTTTATCCTGGAACCAACAGGCAGAGGCACCTGCTGCATCTCACCTGGCACCTTCACCTGAGCCAGGCTGCCCAGGAGGGAAAGGAGAGGCCGTCCCACCCCTGCCTCCCCCCGTGCCTGCCCAGCTCCCGGGCCTGGCAGAGCCCAGGTTTGTGCCTCCACCTGGCGACGGCAGCGAGCGCTGCATTTTAGCCCACATAGCTGTGGTTGGTTCGGGGGATGGGAGGGGGATCAGCAGGGAGGGGACAAACCTCACTCCTCTCTCCGTGAGGACAAAGTGTATAAATAAGCATCTCTGGTTCTCTCCCGGCCTGCCTTTGGAGCGCTGAGGTGCGTGCTGGGTGATTTATCCCGCCTGTCTCGGCGCTGTGGGTGGGACAGGCACTCACTGGGGTGTGCTCAGGTCCCCGTGGGGTGGCTGAGCGAGCAGAGAAGCAGAGGTCCAGCTTTCCATACCCTGAACCACGCACAGGTCAAGCCTCCTGCCTGGAGTGCAGTGTCAGTGGGGAGGATTTACCCTTTTCTTCCCCACCTCCCCCTTCCCTGTAATCCACTTAATCCCCTGACGACAGGGCTCTCTCTCTGTCAGCTCTGCACAGCCAGCCTTGCTAACAGGCAAGCTGTCTCCTCGTCTTGCATCAACAAAGGAACCGGCCAAATCTGGGGGTTTGGAACCTCCAGACACGATCCTGCAAAGCAGAACAAATGTCTCCATTAAGCAAACATCCAGGTCTCCTCCCAGCACTGCTGCTTTAAAAACAAACCCTCCTGTTTGTACACGGATTTAACAAATGTGGGTAAACCTTAGTGCTTCTCTTACTGGAGGCAACTTTGGGAGCTGACTGATGCTACTGGATCACACTGTGGGTCCTGTTCAGCCTTCACCCTGGCCTGGGAGGGGATCTGGGATCTGAATGGCAGTGCTGGAGGGTGGATGGGGCTGGGGGGTTGGAATCTGTACCTGTTGTTTTGGCTCTTGGCTCTGCTCTGTGCCCTCAAGGCCTCTGTTGCAGGGCAGTGGTTGAAGAAAACAAGTGCTGAGGTTTTAATGTTGTGGAAACATTTCCCTCAGCTTCTGTGGTCTAAGCAGCCAGGCTGAGGGATTGCAGGTCCCTTCCTGGGACCAGGGCTGGGTGGACCTCTGGTTCCAGCTCCTGAACCCTGTGCAGTCTGTGAGGGGCTTGGTGTGTGGCTGAGGCTGCTTGAGGTGAGCTTTGTGCCCACCAGACCCCCGTGCCACCCTCGGGCAGTGCCTGTGCTTTCTCACCTTTCCCCTGACTGCCTGTGAGGGGGAAGGCTTGGGGAAAAATAAACACACACCAGCCCTGCTCTGTGCCCTGTGCTGGTAGTCTGGGGATAACCACCTACCATGGCACTGGGATCCCTTAAACCCTGCCCCAAAAGGCCTGATTTACAGGGTGTCTTACCATGTCCCAAGGAGAGGTGGGTTGGCAGCAGGTTCTCCTGTTGCCTCAAGTGCTACCCATTGAATCTGGAGTTGTCCAGTCCTGTAGGCAGCTGTGTGTGTGATTCCCTGGGTGGTGGCCTCTCTCTCCAGAACATTGTGCTCTCCAAAAGATCACACCTTACAAGGCCTGTCAGCCTGTCCCACTTACCTTTCACTTTTTTTTTCCACAGGGGTCCTGACAGCTGGAGAGCACAGCTTTCCCTTCCAATTCCTGCTGCCAGGTAAAGATGCACAAAAGTGGCTGAGGGTCCCTCCCTTTGAGCCTTGGCTTGTGCAGCCTCTCAAGGTGTGCTGAGAAGGACTTGGGTGACAGAGGCAGGGTGACAGCTGGGCCTCCTTCTGTGAAGGAGGTTGCAGCAAGGTCTCTGAGTGACCCAGGTGTTCAACCACAGGTCTTTTTTTTGGGGAAACTTGCAGAACTCCTCAGGTGAAGCTGTTGAAAAGAGGAAGGTTGTTAAAAAGGCAGTATACTTCCAGTTCAGACTGGCCTGACTCAGCCTGGGGTGCTTCCTTCCCCTTAAGGGTGGGTTGTCACAACCTTCTGATCCTTTTCTTTCTCTCTCCACGCCAGCCTCTGCTCCTACATCATTTGAAGGCCCTTTTGGCAAGGTCCTGCATCAGGTGAAAGCTGTGATAGACACACCTCGCTTCTCCAAGGACTACAAATGCAACAAAATCTTCTACGTTCTCTGCCCTCTCAACTTGAACGACATCCCTGACATCGAGGTAGGAACGAGGAGGGGCATGGTTGGGAAGTGCCACCACTCCAGCACTTGTCCTTGTCCTGCTGTCTGAGCAGTCACTGTGTGGCTGGACAACTCTCTGACTATGTAAGAGCAGGACAAGGACTCCTGAGCTGACCTGCTCTGCCATCAGCCCCTGCTCCAAATGATTTTTGACTCTTCTGTGTGTCGCTTTGAAAGATTTAGGTGAATTTTCAGCATTTTTCAGAGAGATATGTTGGCCAATAGCTTCAGGTGCTTGGAGAGATCTGGATGTGGAGAACTTGCTTTGGAGGGAAGAGCAACTAATAGGACCAGAGGAGTGGGGGGGCTGGAGCAGTGGGACCTGCTGTGTGTGGCAGTGCCAGGTTGCTGGTTCTTTGCGTCCTCTCAGACCGGATATTTCTGCCTGCTTGCTTCGAATCTCTGAGTGTTTGTGACTCTTGAGCCAACATCTGTGTCTCTGCTGTCCTGCAGCAGCCCAACACCATGTCCGTCACCAAGAAGTTCAACTACAAGCTCGTGAAAAGCGGCAACATCATCCTGACGGCCACGTCGGACCTGAGGGGGTACATTGTGGGACAGGCGATCCAGCTCCGCACCGACATCGAGAACAAATCCGGCCGGGACACGGGATCTGTGGTAGCCAGCCTGCTCCAGGTGAGCGTCCCAAAGGGTGATTCTGGGGCTTGTGCTGGTGCTCCACCCCCCTGTGAAGCTGGGGCAGCTCTCCCCTGTGTGCATCTCTGCTGCCTGGGGCTGGGGGGGTGGCAGCGAGGAGGCTGAATCTGACTAACTCTGTTTGTCTCCACCTTGCTGGGGAAAGAGGAGGTAGAACTTGTCTTGCTTACACCTACTCAGTCTGTCATGTAACCACGGGTATTCCTGCTCTGCAACGTGCCCGTTGGATCTGTGCTCGTGCATATTTGATGAAGCAGTTGGGTGGTTTTTTGCCCTGACTTACATTTGTGGGGGACATAAGACCATCTGCAGCCTCTCTGCTACCTGTGTGCCCCCCGTCTGTGCAGAAAGTGGCCTATAAATCCAGGCGCTGGATTTACGACCTGAGGACCATCGCGGAGGTGGAAGGCTCGGGAGTGAAAGCCTGGAAACACGCGGAGTGGAAGGAGCAGATCCTGGTTCCAGCACTGCCCCAGTCCATCCTGCAGGGCTGCAGCCTCATACACATCGACTACTACATCCAGGTGAGTTCAGCAGTGCTCCTGGGCTGGGGCTCTGTGCTCCCTGCTGGTGTGGGTCGTCCTCGCAGCAGGTGAACCTTCCCATTGCAATGCATCCCGAGGATGCCACTGTTTTTCCCCTCTCTTCCAGGTGTCCCTCAAGTCCCCGGAGGTTTCTGTCACCCTCCCCATTTACATTGGTAACATTGCAGTGAACAGGGTCCCGCTGAGTCCCTCCCGCTCCATCCAGCACATCCCGTCTGCCGTGGTTCCCAGCGCCCCCCCGGAGGAAGAGGAGGCTGCCAGTGGATATCACCCCATGGACAATATCTCCATCCCCACCAAAAGCCATTCCCAGCAGCAGCCCTTCAGCTACGCCCCAGGACTGAGCTTCCAGGAGATCAGGGCGGACTCGGAGCAGACGGGCTCCCCAAACCACCCCACGCTCTGCCTGTCCACGGGAGCCACTGTCCCCTACTACGCTGAGGGGAACGTGGTGCCCGTGCCCACAGCCAGCTCCCTCATCCTGCCTCCAGAGTACAGCACGTGGGGATACCCCTACGGTGAGCAGCACTCCCGGGGTCTGACAGGGCTGCCAGGGGGGCAAAGCGCTCCTACCACCGATCTCTTTGCCCGATGTGACCTGGGTGGGAAGCTGGGAATGCCAGTCTGCCAGAGGCTGGTGTCAGATGGGGGGTCAGGAGATCTCTCTGCCTGCTTTAGCCTCTGGAGGATTCCCCTTTTCCAGCTGTAAAAAGCTGGCTGTCCTTCCCACGGCTGCGCCCGTGCCTGCCCCGGGCTCGCCCTGAGAGGATCTCCCTGTTCTTGAATGAGCTTTCAGCCTCCCACTGATAGAAAAACTCCCTGGCTTGTGGTGAGGCTGGTGGGAGCAGAGCCAGGAAAGTGATGTCACTGAGATCTTCTGCCCGCCTTGGAGTGGGCCTGCAGCTGCTCTGAGCACACGGGCTGTGGGGGCGGGAGCTGAGAGACCAGGGTGGAAAAGCTCGGGGAAATCCCAGCGTGCTGGAGTCCCTGAGCCATGCTGGGGTGGCAGGGGCCAGCAGTGTCTGTCAGCACCCTGAGCAGCCCATCTGCTGGCACTGGGGTAACGGGACACTCCCTGTGTCACTGCAGCCCTGGGTTGGGGCACACGGAGCACGGGTCGCCTGGAGTGAGGGGGAAAGCTTGTGAAAGAAGGGGAGGAATGGAACAGGACTGGGAGAGGGTGACTTCAACCCCTGTAGGCATCAGGGCAGGGATGGGACTGGCTGGCACCCACAAACCCCACGTGCCTAAGGTTGCGGGGTCCTGGCGGGCAGTGCCCGTGTGTCACACGTGTGTGGCAGTGGTTTGCTTCACTCTGCTCTGGGTTACACGGTCTGGGGGGAAGGGAACCTCCCAAACGCTCACCATAACTGCTCTCCTTCCTCCTTTCCCCACAGAGGCACCTCCATCCTACGAGCAGAGCTGCAGCAGTGCCAACTCCAGCATCAGCAATGGCAACTAGCCCTCCCCTGCTCCGGGCCCTGCTGGCGCTGCCCACCCTGGTGCCACGGGGCACCTGCCTGTGGCAAAGTCTGGTACAGCACAAGGCGACTTCTTGTCTCTCTGGCTGCTTGGGGAGGGGGGACTGGCACATCCCAGCCTGGGCTTTTAAAGTCTCTTTCTAGGAAGGGGGTAAAAAACCAAAAAAAAAAAAGGCAGCCAGAGCAGCCTGTATGGATGTAGGAGAGGTCTGGGAGACTGACCCGTGTCCTGCTGCTGCACCAGGTGCTGGAGAGCTGGCTGTGCCCCCGGGGTGCCCTGGGCAGCAGCCTGTTCCAGTACTGTAGTCAACACTAACTGCTTTACTATCAAACCACCCGCGATGCCTTATCTGAATGCTCCTGACTTGGCACGTCTCCACTGCAGGGGAAGGCTGGGCTGGGTGGACTTTCTCTTTTAGGGGCCATGTGCTCTCCAGAAATGGTTTTGACAGCCCTTCCTCCTTGTCCTCATAGGTCCTTAAGGGTAGCAGGAGGTTTCTTGGAGTAAGCAGGTTTGGGAGGTCAGGGACTGACTGAAAGCCAAAAGCACAAGCCCTCGCTGTACCCGTGTTATGGGGTGAGTGACTGGCAGCCTTTGGCCCTGTGGCACTGGGGAGCTCGTGGGGGCACTTGCTCATAACCCATGAGGCCCTGGTGGGCTGTGGGGGGAGAGCCTGGTGTTCCACGGGCTGCCCACCACCCACCTCCTGCCCTTTTCCAGCATGGAAAAGCTCCTGTCAGACACAGCCCAGCCCTGCTCCTGGCTCACTCCTGGGATAACAGTGCTGGTCACTCTGCATGTAGGGGAACCACATCCCGTGTGCCCTGCCAGGTGCCCTCTCCTCCCAGGCCAGAACGGCACGATGATCAGGTTACCAGGGTCTGTCTGACGCTACCTCTGAGCCTGCCCAAGGGCCCTGCCTGGGAAACACTTCCCTCTGGGACCACCCTCCCTGGGGCTCAGCCTGGCATCTCTCCAGGAGTGGTTGGCACTGCCCAGGCAGCACAGGAGGGTGCTGGGCCGGGGCTCTGCTCTGCTGCTGGTTTATTGCACGTCCCCTGAGCCACAGCAGGGTGTGAGAACGAGGAGAGGGAGCTTGTGGGGACACAAAGGCCTCGCTCGCACCAGGCAGCTCGGGGGGGGGAAGAAGCTGGTTTTTCTTTTCATTTTTGTGCTTTTATTCCCCCACCCTTGTTTAGCTTGCCTCGTGTTGCCTTGCCCAAGCTGAGGAAAACGCTTGGTCCAGAGCCACAGCTGAAACTGCAGCCTCCACCACCTTTGGCACCTCAGAGCTGGTCCCCACACGGCCCAGGCTGGGCAGGCAATGCCCAACAGCCCTTTTAGGAGCATTTACAGCCGCTGCCTCCTCGTTTCAGCCCACCTCTGCACACCCTGCAGGCAGCTGGGACAGGCCCCTGCTTTGCACTCTTTCTTTGCAAATGCTTTTTGTTTGATTTGGGGGTGTTTTTTTTTAAGTGTTGAACTGCTTTAAGGGTAGCATAGCGAAGGTGCCGTTCTGAGCAGTGCTGGCACAACATGCACCGATGCTGAGAGAGTGATTGTCATTGTCCCCAAATATATATATATATATATATATAAATATATATATATGAGATGAAGTTTTGTTTTTAATGATTGAATTCATAAATACAAATTTTAATGCTGTATTTAATAAATTATTCTAAGAGAAATGCTGTGCTTTTTTTCATCCATTTCTGATGCTTTTCCATGTGCCTGTTCATGCCAAATCCAGGAATGCACCTTGCTGGTTGCTTACAGAATGAAGTGAGGTTTTTTTGCTCTCACCAGGAAGGACAGTGACCTTTGCCAAGGCAGCTTGGGGAAAATAAACCTGGTGTGTCCTGAGTGCAGTGCCAGGCTCGTAGTTCCAGATGGCTGCAGGGAGTCTGGCACCACGTGGGCTTGGCTGTGGAGAGAGCAGCCACTGCACTGCTGCTTTCCCATCCCTGTGTCCCAAAGCCAGGGCTGGGCTGGCAGAGAGGAAGGGCAGAGTGGACTCTCCCTTCAGGAGGATGGAGATGGCACAGCCAAGCTCTTTCTGGAAGGGCTGGAGACCATCAGAGCCATTTGGAACAAATTTACTAAAAACAGAAGAAGGCTCCTCCCCAAACCCACCCTTTGGTGATCCCATGCCTGAAGGGTGTAGGTGTTGCCTAAATATTGTCATCACAGGTAGCCTGGGGTGTGATCTGTGTCTTGGACAGACGGATCCTTCCTCACTCTCTGCTCAGCTTATGCTTCTGCCCAGTTTCCATGGTCTAAGACTCTCCTTTGCCTGGTGGTCCAGCCTGCCATGAGCAGCATTCTGGATGTGCAGGGGGCCAAAGGCAGGTACAGCTCTCCCCTGGTGCTCTTCCTCTTCCTCCCACTCAGCTGAACTGTCTTGCCTGGCTCAGCCTGTAGCTGCTTGGCTTTCCTTGCTGTTGGCTGTACCTATCCCTCCTTTCAGGCCTCAACCCAAATCCCTTCCCCACCTCTGGGAAAACTCCTGTGAGCTGTCCCTGCTTCTGGAGCTGCTGGGTTGGGCTGCAGGCTCTGGGAGAGGCATCTCCATCCCTGAAGCTGAGCTGCAGGTGATGTGTCCAGCCCATGTTCCTTGGCTGGAAAATGGGAATGGTGTTCGATTACTATGGCCAGACCCCCAGTCAGTGTCTGTGCTCCTTGTTTTACCCTTGCATAGAGAATGCACCGCCCATACTGGAGGCTGTGGAGAGGAGAACCCAGCTGTGCCTCACCCCCTCCCATCTCTGCACTGCTCCCATGCACCTCAGCTTGCTTTCCCAAATTGTTCTTGCTGCAAACGGTCCTTGGGCACCTCTTGCTGTACACAGAGTCCTCTTTGCAAAGCAAGGAGCAAGTGGGAACCCTCTTCCTCACCAGTGAGGAGTGTCCATCACTGCTGGTGGCTGTGGAGGGAGCGGGAAGGATTGGAGCGACACCTCCTCCTTCTGGATGGCAGGGCTGCTGCACAGCACAGACCCTGCAGAGAGGGGCCTCTGCCAGCGCTGGGAGGTGGCTGTGGCCAGGCTGCAGCAGGTTATCACCCCTAGTTTGCCCCGGAGCAGCCTCAGTGTTGTGCAAGTGAAGGGACACAACGGGCGAGAAGTTGTGGTTTCCAACGTTCCTGCCCAGCCTTGCCCGTCCCTGCAGTGCACAGGGGAGGGAGCTCTGGCACAGCCAGCCTTGTCCACAGCTCAGGGAGCCCTTTGGGATGGGCCAGGGCTGCAGGATGGAGGAGTTAGTCCAGCTCTCCATGAACCCACCTGTTTCCCCAGGGCACTGCGGCAACAAATCCTTGGACAACACAAGGGCTTTGGCTGAGCACGAGGGGGCAAACCCCAAGGTATGGGTGGGGGTTTGGGTTTGTCCACTCACCCAATCCAGGGAGGATCAATCCCTCTCTCCTCTACCTCTCTGCTGTGTCCCTTCTCTGCAGCCTCTCTGGCTTCCACCTCCTGAAGTCCTGGGGAGCTCCTTTAGGCCCTGGGTCATCCCTCTCTCCTCTTCCTGAACTCTGGCCCAAAGAGGGGGAAAAAGCCCATTTGTCAGAAACCAGCTCTGGGTAAAAAACTTCAGCAGTTGGGAGGAATTCATTCAAATTCCTGGCTCAGATTATTCAAGCAGTTGTTTCTGGGTTTGATTGAAATGGGGAGGGGGAGCAGTGGGGCGCGGGAGAAGCCTGTGAGTTAATTATTTCCGAACTCAGCATTCGATGGAAAATACCAAAAATATCACCAGTCCTCTTTTTTTCCCCCTGCTGCTTCTTTTTTGTCCTTCATGTTTTCGTTCTTGTCCTGCTCTCCACATGTTCCACCCCCATGTATTTGGCTTTTCCAGTGTTGTGTCCTACCAAACCCTGCTTTGCCACCTGCTGTCCCACTGCCTGCAGGAGATGGGGAAAGGGGAGACAGGGGGTGTGAAGGTTCTTCTTTCTCTTGGACAGTGTTTCTTTTTTTAGCTTTCCACTGAAGTTTCAGGAGTTTTGTAAAAGTAAATATTTTCTTGCTAGGAAGTTTTCCTGTTGAGCCAGCACAAGAGAGGAGATACAGGGTGTTCTGGGCTCCTTTTGGGTTTTATTCTGTATTTTAAAATATTTCCAACTTATCTGCAACAGGAATGTCCCATCCCTCCTCCTCAGGAGAAACTGGTGGGGTAAACCCCTCAAAACTTGTGCCCTTTCTTGCACCACTGCATGTGGCTGTAATTCTTTATTCCTGTGGTTCTCTTTGCAGACTTTGGGGTTTTATACAACAATTTGTGACGGCTCTGTACAACCTGAGACTTCTGTGCAATTTATTACTGGGTTTTCCAATATAAACTCGCAGTTTTCCATGTTTACCACAGCTTCTGGGGAATATTTTTTGTCCTAGATTTTAAACCCCGAAATGTAAAGAACTGAAAAATGTAAATAAAGAAATTTTTTTTTTTTTTTTTTTTTTAAGCCCATGGGTGTTTTGCTCGGGGGGTGTGGTGAGAGCTGTCCGTGTGCTGAGGGCACAGAGGGTGAGAAGTGGCTCGTGGCTGTCCGTGGAGGAATCCACAATGGAGCTGGAGCTTGGATTTTGGTTATAGCCAAGGCTGAAGCAAAGTCTGATTCGGGGGGGAACTGGTGGGGTGGGAAGACCCTGGTGGGTTGAAGCAACTTTGCTCGTTCCTGTGGTGAATCACAGAACCCTGGAATACCCTCAGCTGGAAGGGACCCCCCAAGGACCATCCAGTCCAGCTCCTGGCCCTGCACAGACACCCCAACAACCCCACCCTGTCCCTCAGAGCGTTGTCCAAACCCTCCTGGAGCTCTGGCAGCCTTGGGGCTGTGCCCACTGCCCTGGGGAGCCTGTTCAGTGCCAACCACCCTCTGGGGGAAGAACCTTTTCCCAAAATCCAGCCTAACCCTGCCCTGACACAGCTTCACAGGAAGCTTCTCTTCGCGGGAAGGTCCCTCCGGAGGGACGCGGCGGAGGAAGCGCTGGGGCGGTTGGGTTGTGCTCTTCCTGCTGGCAGGAATCCCAGGATGTGCAGCTCCGGCTCCGCTCGCCCGGCTCGGGCGGGAGAGGGCGATGTCCGCCCGGCTGGAGCTCGGAGTGGCCGCGGAGAGGCTGCGAGACGGCCCCGACTGCCTGGCCGAGCCCTGAGCCCCGTCCCGGGCCGAGCCCTGAGCAGCAGCTGCTCCGGGAAAACAGGGAGCTCATGGCACAGCACACCCCGTTGGTGTTGGAGAAACCGCTGGGTTTGAGGGGAACAAGGGCCGTAGCGGTGGGATGTGAGGGCTCTGTGTGTTCCCGGCTATTCCTGCTTCTTGCGGGAGCCTCTGCCGTCCCTGACGACCCAGGGAAGTTTGTCCCGGTGGCTGCAGCGTCCCCAGCTCCATCTGGGAAAGACGGAGCCCCAGCAAATGCCTGGGGAGAGGAGCCACCAGGGCCCGTCCCGGTGGGCTTTCGGCCTCACCCACCGCCCTCGCCTCGTCCGGGGGTCAGCACGGGACCCGTGGGGTGCCGGGACCTGGGGGTTGGTTTGTAGGAGAAGGGATGAAGGCAGGCTGTTCCTACAGCCCGCGGGGAGCATCCCCAGGGCGGGATGCTGGTGATGCGGAGCATCCCTAACTGGGGATATTGTCGATGTCCAGGGTGACACCCGGCCCTCGCTGGACCCGAAGGTCTCCAACATCCCTATTCTGGTGGTTCTTTGTGCAGGGACCAGTCACCCCATCCCGGGAGGATCCCAGGGGAAGGACATGCATCCCACCACCACTCCCTGCGCGGCTCGGCTAATCCCAGAACGGCGAGAGCCCCGGGGCCGCTCCGTGTCCCCACACAGCGCGGGGCACCGCGGCGGGGGCTCCGCGGGGACCCTGCCAGGGCCCTGCCGGGGCTGCCGGTGCGCGGGGGGTTCTCCAGGGGGGTTAATTAGTTAGTTACTTAGCTAATTAATGAATTAGCTGCCGCCGCCAAACTGCGGGAGAGGCTGCTCGGAGGGGCTGGGGCGGGCGGGGGGCGGGTCCCCAGCCCCGGGGACTCTTATTTTGACCGCGGCGCTGCCGGC